ATATATATATATATATATATGAGTGCAACACAACAAAAACAAGAAATGAAAAGTTGTTGGGGGTGGGGTGCCTTTTAACAGTCAAATAGTCCCTGGTGCCACACCTGACACTGCAGGCAAAGGATATATTAATAAATACATGAGACATAATTATATGCATTTTTAATTACAAATTAATTTTAGAGTCCTTTCCTTGTTTAACTAGATTAAATTTTTAACAATTTATTTCCAATTTTAATAAATTACTGACACCTTTGGTTTTTTTATTCAATCAAGTATTTATTTACTCTTATTTATTCACATTTTATGCACAGTCTCAAATATTTAGCAGTATGTTTTCTAACTTCACATCTAAATCAAGGGTCAAGGACACTTTACTGTCGTTCACATTAGATGTTGTACATGGGGTGGAATGAAATTGTGTACTTGAGGTTCAGTTACACCCAAAAATAGCAATTATATAACGTATATATGTATATAAAGTACACAAAGATATACGATAAACAATAATAACGTAATATGTTTAATGTATCCTTGCATGTAATGGTTGTAAAGAAACTCCAGCTACACTCCTGCATCCATTCTGGACCTGTCCCAAACTACAGCTTGTGGTTTTGACACCTTCTCTGGGATATGTGGTAAAACTGTTCACCCACTCATGTCTCTAGTCGGGTGTCCCTGTGGACACATCCTTCAGCAAGTACAAGAACGATTTGACTACTGTTGGCTCTCTTCTGACCAGACTGCCTCCCCCACCCCCCAGCATTTATACATTGGATGAGAGGTGATGGATCATATCAGATATACCCTGAAGGGTTCTGTTCAAAGATCTTGGGACACATGGCAGCCATGTATGTTGTATGTGGAAAACATGTCACTGCCCGTTTATAGTTTGTGTGACTGATCCTGTGTGGGAGTTTTGTTTGTTTGCATGTTAAAAATAAAGAATCAATTAAAAAAAACCTTTGTATATAAAATGTGCAGTTAATAATTTGGTAATGCTAAATAAAGTGTTCCTGGAGCCATCCAGAGTGTAGGTGCACAGAACACACGGGTCATGTAGAGCTGGGCCTTTATTCAGTCCACTGGTACAAAACGAGACAAAATGAAAACGTGAACAATTCATACAAATATTTTACTGTTCCAGTTCAGACGGCATCAAAAGAAAATAAAAACCAGGAGGAAAGATCAACTTTACATTCTGAGTCCCACAAGAGACGAAAGAGGACGAGTTTTCACAGAAAACACTGAATGCAGCATCCGACGTCAGTCAGTGCCTGTGGTTGGCGGGGTGGTTGGGGGGCAGCGGGGGTCCGTTCACACCGGGGTGATAAAATGCACAGTTGGCGTCGTACCGGCAACTTCCCTTCATCATGAAGTGGCGACACACGGGCCTGTTGGACATGTCTAACAGAGAACAGAGGAGAGTTACTGAACGTTCCTGAAGTTTAAGAGCAGCGGTCGGTCTCAGCACAGACCGAGCTCTACATCTAGATCTACATCTACACTTCTGATGACAAACTCTACATAAATTGTCTTTAGCTCATAAAACAAACCTGTGTGAACCTACATCAGCTAAAGCTCCACACTTCAGCTGAAGCTGCTGAGAGCATGGAGCACCAGGAGTCCACGTGTGAACATCCTGACGAGAAGACACCTCTCATGGTGACATCATGCCAAGAGCTCATTAATGGTTACCTGTTAACCTAGTCTGGTATAGAACTGATAAAATATAAAGATTATCCCTTTAAAGATTAACTTCTTAAAAATGGGACTTTTTGCTCATTTTGAAATCTATATTTTCTTATAAACTCTTTGTAAAAGTTGTTTATTTACAGACGGAGCGTCAGAACACGAGCTCCTGCTTCATTTCACTGGACCAGTAAGACCAGTATGACATTTAACACACACACACACTCTCACACAAACACACATACAAACAAAAAAAAAACATTTTTATTCTTTTATTTTTTATAAAGTGAAAAAGGTCAAGGTCTGTCCAGACTGCCCCCACTAATCCGGGCCCTGAGGAGCCCCCAGTAAGGCTCCAGACTCTGTGGTTTTTAGGAAAGCATGGGGGCCCTGCTGGAGCAGATCCGATCCCCTGAGTGTCCCTCGGTGTCTCGCTCCACATACCGTTCATGTTGTTGTGTCCTCCTCGGGGGCCTCCTCGTCCTCGACCCCTGAAGCCTGAGGAGCTCTGAAGCTCTCCTCCCCGACCCCGCCCCCCTCTGTGGAAGTTTCCTCCTCTGTGCGCCCCCCCTCTCATGAAGTCATCACCCAAAACGTTGCCTCCTCTGCCGTGACCTGGTGGTGGTCCCATCATGTGGGGGCCTCCGCCAACATTGAATGGTGGCCCGTGGTTGTGGGGGGGCGGAGGGTGGTTGAAGCGTGGCCCCCCAGGTGAATTGTTGGGGGGGAATCCTCCGTTCATGGGCATCTGCATGGGCATGTTGTTGCCTGGACCGTGTCCCAGGAGACCTGGACTGACTGCAGGCAGGGACAAACAAAAACAAATAAACAAACAAACAAACAAAGATGAGGTGTGAGGGTCCACTCAGAGACCAGGCCCACCTGCTGGAGGTCCACTCTGACTCTGGCTCTGCTGCAGGGAGCCCAGCAGCTGCTTGACCTTGTCTGAGAAGTCGGGCTGTCTGATGAGGTCTTCAGCAGACTGGTTCCCAGAAGCTCCCTGAGAACACAAACACTCCATGAGCTCAGGTCCAGGACCAGGACGTGGAGCAGGAGGTCCACTGCTCACCATGATGGAGGACAGCAGCTCCTGGACGTTGACGGCGGGGTTGTTGGGGGCGCTGGGGGCTTGCGGGCTGCGTGCGCTGCCGCCGAGGTTGACCATGAGGTTGGCCAGGACCGGGGGCAGCTTGGAGGTTTCGTTGGGGTTCAGGACAGAGTTTTGCTGGGCCGAGGTGTCCATGGGCTCAGCGTAGCTTTCATCCAGCATGGAGGAGTCCTGCAGAGAACATCACACTGAAGTTAGGAGACACAAACAGCGTTTAGAGCAACCATGTGAGTTTGTAGTGAGCTAACCTCGTCCAGGGGGATGAGCCGGGGGGGCATGGGCTCATAGGGCTCAGGATCTGGTTCGTGTGGACTGTCAGGAACACTGGACAGGAGACAACACAAGTTAGAGTCAGTCCAGCTGACATGAGGCGTGTGTGTGAGCAGCAGCACACCTCTCCTTGCTGAGGAAGATCTCCTGCAGAATGCTCATCTCCCGCTCTCGTTGGGTGAGCTTCTCCGAGCTGCTGGCCCCCGGGGTCACCAGGACTCCCATCAGAGTCAGAGGTCTGGGCTGGCTCCAGGGCACCCTCTCCTCCATGGCGTCATGCGACAGCCGCCGAGCCATCTCAAACGTCTGCCGGTCCATCATGAGCTCCCTCTTGGCCGCCTCGCCGAAATCTTTGATCTTGTTCACGTTGACTGTGGAGAAAGAAGAAGAAGGTTTAGACATCCAGGAGGACGTTTACCTCACGCTCTGACATCGTGGGACCTCGTACCTCTCTCCGTTTCGTCCAAGTCAAAGTAAAAATAGTGTTTGAGCTGCTCCTCCTCAGCCCAGTGGACGTTCTTCTTCTTCTTGCCCTTCTTCGTCAGGTTGTCGTCGTCTCCGCTGGGCTCTGCCAGAGCGTTGGGCTTCTCACCTGCAGCACCAACAGCCACAACTACTGCAAACTGTTCTTAAACTGAAAACTGCAGATACGTGCACGGTTCTGAGCCTTACTACTGCTGGAGGTCTCGGGGTCCTCAGCTGGGACCGGGGTCCCCGGCTGCTCCGGTTCCTGCTTCTCATCGGCAGAAGAGACGGCGGCAGCTGCTTCTGGAGACGAGGGTTTGGCGGCAGACGAAGAATACCCAGCTGCTTTGTTGTCAAACGGGTTTGTCTGAGAAAAACAAAGTCAAGGACAAACTCTTCTTCAGCTCTTTACAGGATATTGTGTTAGCAAAATATCTAATAAAAAACAGATTTTAATGAAACCAGCAGAAAGTAATTAAATGTACATCTGCAGCTGATTAACCTTCAGAACGACCTTGATCAGAACATCTGGAAACGTTTGCTCCAGATGAAACAAAAATACTAGAAAGCTGCTTGTTGGAAGTTAACGAAGTATCGGATCAAGATCTCTTCACGTCAGCTCCAGAAAATGGATTAAAGCCAGTGATAGTAGAACAGTGACTCCTGCTAGAAGAAGCTGTTGTGTCAGAAGCCCTGAAGTCTGCCCGTACCTTGTTTGACGTAGGTGAGGCAGCTTTGGCGTTAGCCGGACCAGCACCAGACTTCTTCTTCTTGATTTTGATCCCAGGCACCGGGGCAGAGTTCAGCGCATCCAGAAACCCTGTGCCCTCCATCGCTGCGGTGGAGACAGACACTGTCATCTCTGACAAACACGGACTCTGGACCATGCAGCTGTACGGTCCGGACTTACGTGGCGCTGGAATGAGCTTCACTTTGATCTCTTTGGTCGAGTTGGACGGGGTGTTCAGAGGTTTGTACTTTTTCTCAAGAGGTGGAGCGTCTGAGGGACCAGTGCTGGACAAAGACACAAATGACCTGTTGTTACCACTGTCATCCACCAGGGGGTGGCAGAGAGCAGCATAACAAACAAACAAGCAAGCATCAAGTCTTCATGTTTCTACTTCCTGCTGTTTCCCAGCAGTGAAAACCAGTAACGGAGCAGCAGCCCAGTACTTGTACTTAGACATGAAGTGTTTGATCCATCATGTCACTACAACACTTTAGCCCTTAGCTAGTTGAGCTCTTAGCTAGTTGAGCTTCTCTTGGCTCCAACACATTTCATCTTGTTTTTAAACAGCCTTTGTTCACATGTGCATTTATTTAAACTACATATTTCTGACCATTAGACCAACAGTGTTTACCTGGGCCTCTTGAGTAACGGGGGCTTTATGTTGTACTTGTTGCCCAGCTGGGGGGCAGGGGGGGTCTTCTTGGCCAGGGTCGGGGTGGGAGTCTCCATCTCCAGTCCTATGGAGCGAATTTTAGTGTGACTGGGGGCGTGAGCTTTGGGTTTCTCCTTCTTCTTTTCATCGTCTCCGCTCTTCTCCTTCACATCTCTCACCAGGACTTTGCTCTCTTCTCTCTTCTTCTTTTTGTCTTAAAAAACAAACAGAAAGTGTGAGACAGCCTAGAGCTGGGGAGGGAGTGGGGGTCTGAATTCAACAAGCAGAACTGGAGACTGGTACCGGCAGTAGATGTCCCGCTGCCCGACACGCTCTGAGAGCGGATCGTAGCCATCCAGCCATCGACCAGCACAGCTGCCAGTTTCCTCAGCTCTATAATGAGAAGAAGTTATTCCAGCTGTTTCTACCATAACACCTGGATTAGACGTGACACTTCAAATATAAATCTGCTTCAAACAAATACAGCAGCTCCCAGAGGACATCTCAGAGACGTCGGCACATTAACATCAGACGTCTGGATGGTTGAGTGAACTGACCTTCAGTGTCTGCACTTTTGCTCAGCTGCTTCACCAACTTGGCCGTGTTGTTCTGGAAACATAGAGCAGGTGAGTCAAAGGTTCAGAGCGATGCAAGTGAGTTCCAGGTGAGTTCAGTCAGTACCTGTTTGAGGTGGTCCACTTTGAGAGGCAGCTTCTGCAGCGTGAGCAGGATGAGCTGCAGCAGAGGGGTGTTGTTGCTGCTTTTGGAGTAGGTCAGCCAGGCGTTGAGCAGTTTGTAACCCCCGACCCGGATAAACCTGGACCACAGCAGTCAGACATGAGGTTTACTTCAACAACGTTCCATCAACTCTCCACCAGCATGAACGTCATCACATTTATGGGGATTAATGAGACGGTGGAGCTCTTCGTGGGTGGAATGATTTTGCAACATACAACAAACAGCTTGGCTGTTGAGCATGGTGGTGGTGCCATCATGCTGCGTTCAGGCGTTCATCTTTGTGTAATGTTTGTTTCCGAGACAAAAATACAGAAACACTACACCTGAAGCAAGACTGACACAAAATGACCATTTTTAATTACTCTTTTTAACCTTTTATCTAAAATTTGGTTCAGTTTAGGAACAAAATGAGAATCAATAAAAACTTTTTACTATTTTCATGTTAAAACACCACCAGGGCCCAGACAAAATGTTAAACAGGGTCATATTTGGTGCTCAGGCCTTAGGTTTGACAAAAAGGAGCTGCGCGTGTAACGACCCACCTGTTGAGGACATCGTGAGACTTGGTCTGCAGCAAGATGTTCAGGTACATGCACCTGCTGGCCATCTTAGCAGAAGCCTTCATCAGCCTGCGTTTAAAGAACACACGATGAGACAACCCTTAACGTGAGCACGGAGCGCTGCACATCTGGTTTTAGTCGCTCACCCGAACACCTTTGGGACTCCTTCCAGGCTGCGCAGCTCTCCATCCTTCCCCAGAAGGGCCTCGACACCTTTCAAAATCTCCCTGGGGTCAACTGGTCCCCCCGCCATGTCTGAAACACAAAGTTCACCCTGTGAGTGCACAGCTACACACGACAGGCAGCAGATTACTTCCTGCACATTAAAGAACATGACCGCAGCACATTTAACAAAAAACTCATCCCAGCAGCTCTGAACCAGTTCAACATTAAGGCCAACCCAACAGAAACATTTAATTAAACCAGTCTGACGTGTTTCATGTCCAAGCTGAAAGTGGTTCAGGAGTGGAGGACCACCAAGCTCTTCATGGTTGAGCTCACAGGACGAGTCAATACATTTATTGATAGCATATTTCAGCTTAGACTTCATGCAGAGGGGAACACACAATGTGACATTTATCACTCATCCCAAACAAAAATCTACTTTTAATATATTTTATTATTAGTCCCAACAAATCATAAAAAATTATATTTGTTGTATTAATTAGTAGTAAATTAGTTATCAATAGCTGTAAGGGTGAAAACTTAAAATTACTTATGTGCTTTAACTGTGTAAACAAGTACTGATGGAACCATTAGTAACATTTGAACTGAACAGAGCCCTGAGGCATGCCACAACCTCCTGACATCATGAAATAATGTAACTTTGTAGGGTGTTGTAAAATGTAAAACGTTAAAGGGTCTAAGGGCGCTTCCATTAGCTGCCCGCTGCTCCACCCGAGTGTATACCAGGTGTGATGGGTTCAATGCAGAGCCAGTTTCACCACTGACTGGGAACATACAATGACATCATATTATTATAGTTCATCTTTGTGCACGACAGAGCCAGGCCCATCAGGACCGTACAGATGAGTGGCAGCAGGCGAGTGCGCACGTCAAGCTGCATGTCAACGACACAACCTGACACACAACTGGAGGAACCTTCAAAACAAGCACTGGATGTGGATTATTTCAGTCATTTTGAGTTATTACCAAACAAATTAATCTAATATTCGTTTGTCTGGGCTCAGACAATAGTTTTAGTTTATGCAAGATTAACTTAAAAGTGTCTAAACGTGAGAGCAGCAGCAGTTTCAGTCCCTGCAGTGACAGAACGTGTTAGCTCTTACCTGCACACCTGAGCTAAGTGGAAGTTTTATTTTGTCTCAAACCTCCACAACACTGTAAACAACCTGTTCCACAGAAACATACATTACCCTGCACCCATTAAAACACCCCCGCCCCCCAATGTTGTCCCCCGTTTACAATAAAAATAACTTATTATAAAAGTCTTGATTAAAGCAGGTTTTACAAAAACATAAATAATTAAACATTATAATAACAGTCCATCCCGGATCAGGGCTCGTTACTGAACACAGGCCTGTTGCTTTAAGAGGGAGGGAGACGCAGACCGAGAACAGCCCTCCCACCGGTTAACAGCTCCCAGCTCGGATCTAACGCTCATAAACGGCTGTTCTCACACGAAACGTGTGCGCCGGACGGCGTCGACCAAGAGCCGCTCCAAGAAGGGGAAGAAGCCCCCCGGTCCAGGGAACGAGTGAACGATCAAATCCACCCGCCGCCATTTTGAATGTGTCCGGAGATCGTGCCGCCTCTACCACCGTCATGTGCCCTGAAACTCCCCACCAGCGCAGTCTTTATGTGCAGACTGCGACAATTCAAACAGGCAAAAAAAGTCCCGACTACATGATCATGTGGCAATCTTTATGAGTAGATTGCTTATGGTAATTATGCGATAATCCTGTTAATTTATATATTTTTTATTTTAAGTGTTCATTCCGTCTCACACGCAAAGGCACGGAGCGAGTCCGTCCACTTCGCCGTGTGAGCTCATACTAGAAGCCAACGGTCGAGGCCTGCTAGCCAGCTACCGCTAGCTAGCCTATTGTCTACAACAAGAATCTCATTTGGATGAATTCCGATCCGATTTTAACTTCAAAAAGCAACTTACTATGGTTACTACAGATCCTCAGCGTCTCGGGTATATTATGGTGTACTTTTTCAGGAACTTACAGCTCACATTTCATCATTTTTATGTCGTTTTAATTTTCAAATGAGGCCTCTTTATGGGTGGGGCTGTAACAGCTAAATGCTATGCTATGAAAGCCTTTCCTTCGGGAACTGGAGGCAAAAATAGTAATCAAATGTCCATTACTTGAGGAAAAAAAGGAATTGAGAAAAGCTGTTCGAAAGTCCTCGATGATTAGTCTTCAGCAAAGCAAGTGAAACCTGTAGAAAAACAGACGACAGAAAATTACTTTTTAGATGTTAATCTATATACACGTCAGAAACCAAATTAAAGTTTTCTTTTTACCTATCCACTAATAATTTGGTTTAAAAAAACGGTTGTCACGATCAGAAGGTGCACATTTCCTGACTTGACTTACCTTTCACTAAATCCTGGAATGAGCTCGAAAGGGAGGGACTTCCTATTTTATACTACGTGACGATTTTGACGTCACTTATAGCGTTTTTACTGTGTTTCGCACGAACAAAATGGCGGAAAGTTGTGTTTGACTTTTTCTTCAAGGACGTAATGGCGTATTCACATGATGGAAATGTTTTTCTCATCATATCTAGGGGCATTCGTAGTTAAAGTCTTATTTTATACGTTACTGTGCAGCTGCTTAAACACACAAAAGCATTTTGGTGACTTAAGTCGACATTTACTTAATAATTAACATTAAAAATAAGTTAATAGTATTTCTTCAAAATGGCGTACGTTTGTGGTGGAGAATGGTTTCGAACGTTCCTACCGCCGCCATATTGGAAGGGTAAACCTGTGTGGAAGGTTTTGTAATTACAATATTCTTGGACCTTCTAAAACTTCAGTATGATTTTAACTGTCTTTAAAAGACCATGCACAGATAAGAAGGAACACCTAACCATCTTTTGAATATTAATAAATTAATAATATTTACTTTTTGCCCCACTCCCCTCAGGAAGGAGGTTAAGGAGCATTAAGTGTAGAACCACTAGACTGAGGAACAGCTTCTACCCTGAGGCTGTTAGACTCATGAATCTCTAACTAGAATAATCACTGTGAAAAACCATATCATGTTGCTGCTGATCTGTTTCATGTTGCTGCTGATCTGTTTCAATGTTGTTGTGTTCATGCATGCACATCTGCTCACAGACTCATGTTCATGTTTGTGCTGATGTTCAATGTTTTATGTTCTGAGTGCTTAGTGTATATTTAGTTGATGTTTTTCTTAGTTCATATCTTAGATGTTATTACTGTTTTTCTTATACATTTTATTGTTGGATGTAACTGGGACCCTGTGTACATAATTTCGCTCCACCACATGTACCACATGACAATAAAGAAACTCTGACTCTGACTCTCTGATAAAAAGATTTAGAAAATATTCTCTTGTTATTGTACCATATTGGAAATAAGTGACTATCTTGCATTATCCAAATATATTTAATGGATGTATTATTATATGCAATATATTTAATATATAAACTACTAAATCAATCAATAATTTTTGGAGATTATTAACATTTTAGAGTCTAGAGCCATTCATACATTTTTTTGCAATGGACTTCTGTTTATCTTTTTAAGCAAATGATGACCAAATCTCATTTAGATTTCAATGTTATTAAAAAGCTATGCAAAATTTTAAATAGAATATCATTTTACAAAAAAATTAACTTAGTTTAAATAACACAAATCTGCATTTGGATGTTTTATCATTTTAGTATAATGTTCCTTAATTTTACAATTCAAATATTTTTCTTATTAGATCAACACTTTTTTAGGTAGTTTTATGATTTTTTGCTATCAATCAAGCTTCAGTGATTAAGACATAAAATGTTTTACTCTCCTAGATAAGAAACCTTAAAATAAATAAATAAATCACTCATTCACTTATCATTTACCACTATTATTGGTTAGAAAGTGTTCTTTTAAGTACTCCAAACTTTCCATTAAGATTATCTTATTGGGGCGGCTGTGGCTGAGTGGTTAGAGCAGTCATCCTCCAATGCGAGAGTCAGGGGTTCAAATCCACTAGCAGTCACATGTCAAAGTGTCCCTGGGTAAGACCCTCATAGCCTCTGATGTGTGTCCCATCAGTGTATGAATGTGATAAAGTTCTGATTAGTCTCATTAGAATGATTTGTTCAATTAGCTTTGTATAGATCTAGTAGAGTGCTGTATGAATGGGTAAATGAGACACAGATTGTAGTATAAAGCACTTTGAGTATCTTGAAATAAGATAGAAAGGCGCTATATAAGTACAGACCATTTATCTAGCACACACTTGACAACACTTGACAGTAGTTTGTATTACTCTTCCATTTAAATACCTTATCGACCAGATTTAAACACAATTAATTCATAAATTACGTACCAAATAATCTCCCCTAAATCTCCAGTCATTCCAAGTGCCAAATCAATCCAGCTCTCGACCTTGACCTCTCTAAGTGGCTTTAAGAATCTGTTGGACTCCTGGCAGGGACCAATGCAGACATGTTCCTGTTTTTAGTTTTATACATTTGTCTCGGAATCTAGCAGTTTTTTTTTTGGTTTTGTTACCTTTTTCCTTTTAGCCATCCTATTTGTTAAAAAAAAAAAAAAAAAAAAAAAAAAACTGTAGTATGAGTTTTTATAACTGCTTATTGTTGTTGCTGTTGTCCATTGTTGTCATCTTTCTTTGTTGAAATCAGGTCTCTCTTGTAAATGAGTCCTCGAGGCTCAATGGGATTTACCTGTATAAATAAAGGTTGATTGATCCACTGGAATGGAATCTCTCCTTCTTGTCACTTTGTTCAACAACGATTAGTGTCTGAGTTTTTATTTTTTCACTGAATGTATGTCAAAGCATTGTGAATTAGCATATTTGATTATTTTACAGAGTTCCCTCTCTTAAAATGTTCTCTAACAAAGACATAATTTACAGACTTATTATTGACATTTACAACAATGACTTTTTCATAAGTTTACTGTATAATCCTGGGGAAATTTCTCAGCCACAAAGCCAAATTAACCAGAATTATGTATTTTTTGCATTGAATTTATTTTATATTATAAAGCTCTTGAACTGATGCATAATAAGTACATCCACCAACTTTAATCTTCATTTAAATATTAGATTTAGAATCTTAATTAACCCTAGCCCTTTGTTTTGTGTCTATTTTCCTTTCTTCAGTATTTTATGTATTTATTTATTTTCTTTGGTTACACCCATCCCTTTCTTTTATTTGCAATGCTATTTTCGAATTGCGCCTTTGTATGTAAATTGTACCTTTCTTGTATTTACATGTAATATATAATGTTGTACAGGTAGCACGGTGGCGCAACTGGTAGAGCTGCTTCCTCTCAGCGAGCAGGTCCATGGTTCAAACCCCGGTCCAGGGGCCTTTCTGGGTGGAGTTTGTATGTTCTCTCCGTGCATGCGTGGGTTTTCTCCGGGTGCTCCGGTTTCCTCCCACAGTCCAAAAACATGCATGTTAGGCTGATTGGTAACTCTAAATTGTCCCTAGGTGTGAGTGAGAGAGTGAATGGTTTTTTGTCTCTATGTGGCCCTGTGATGGACTTGCCATCCAGGGTGTACCCCGCCCCTCGCACAGTGATTGCTGGACATGGGCACCAGCGACCCCCGTGACCCGAAATGGAATAAGCGGGTAAAGAAAATGGATGGATGGATGGATATAATGTTGTTTGCTTCGTTAATAAAGTTTAAAAAAAAAAAAACTTTGAGCATGCGCAGTATCTCCAGCTACAAAATAACTTTGAGCATGCGCATTAGATCAGCATCGCCATAAAACATATACTTTTCACGAACTAAATCACAAATGCTTGGATGTGGTTTATCGATTATTGCAATACAAAAATAATACATGTGTTGTTTTAATTTTATAATTATTAAAATTGCTGCAAAACGCATGAACTTTAACCTTTCACCTCTGACTTGCCGTAGTCAAAATGTCTGCTTCTGTGCGTATAATGTTCAAGGTGTTTAATCGCGTATTTCTTTCATTTTCGCATCAATGTCGTCAGAATCAGGTATTATATTTTAATTCGCGGTAATTATTACAGTTTTTTTTTAGTAGTGACACTTTTGTAATACATTTTTAAACACTGTAATTATGTTAAGGTTGGACGCAACCTTCCGCAGTAGTGTAGCAGCTAACTGTAAGCCATAGCTAGGCGAGGCTCGTTGTAACGTGTTAACCAAAGCTAACAAGCATGATAAGCATATTATAAGAAAACTAGTTTTATTTTTTTTCTGTTTAAATTTATGCAAAGTTTGTTCTCCACAAATAAAGATTAAGCCAAAAAATAAGCCCAGCAACTGGACGTTTGTTTTGTAATAGAAACAAACCGGAAGCTTCATGTTAGTTTAAACTGCACAGAAGCTCAGTTATGTAAACTTGTTTTACATGCAGGTTAACTCAGTCATCTCACTGAGAGATGTTTTGGTCACCAGCATGAAGGTGTGGATTAGAGTAAATCTGACTGGCTGGCTGTGTCAGTGCTGCACAACTTCAAGTTGTGTTTGTCATGTGCAGGTTATACAATGAAATCTAAAAAAGTTAAATCTGGTCCTCTGGACATTAAAAAAAAACAAAGCAAAAAATTGTAGAAACGTTTAGTCTTTCATCAGAAAGACTTCAAGGTGCTGTATTCAGCTCAGTATTATAAATAGCACCTTCTCAGAGTGGATCAATCAGTTTGCTGCTGACAACCAACTGGTCAGGAGTTGGAGCATGCATCAAGAGTACAATGAAATGCTTAGGATGAGAAGAACTGATTTGACTTGCTAAAAAATTAAAGAACAAACCAACAAGAAAATACAAAAAACATGCAATAAGGGTACACAAAAATGTACCAAAAAGTGAAAAAGTAGTTAAATAAAGTATTTACAATGTCCTAAAGAGAGAGATTGAGCAACAACATTGTAGAATATAATGATGCAGCAGCATGAATTTGAATAAGTATTTCGAGGTAGTAATATAAACTAAAATGCACATGATATACAGGTCCTTCTCAAAAAATTAGCATATTGTGATAAAGGTAATTATTTTCCATAATGTAATGATAAAAATGAAACTTTCATATATTTCAGATTCATTGCACACCAACTGAAATATTT